CCCTAACCCTAACCCTAACCCTAACCCTAACCCTAACCCTAACCCTAACCCTAACCCTAACCCTAACCCTAACCCTAACCCTAACCCTAACCCCGATAGACATGCTGGCAAGCAACAGTCCCTTAGCGATAAGGTTGCTGCGTCGCCACGCGTTGTAATCATCGCTGGTAACGTCTGGAGCAGGGTCATCGAGCATAACCGCATCGTATACGCCTGGTCCCTTCTGCATTAGGATGTTCTCGGAGTCGACTTTCCACTTGAAGAAGTTGATAGAATCCGAGAGCGCAGGAAGCTTTTGGTTGTTTGTGGTTCCATAGTAGGAACCGATATCGGCAGCCATTTCTGACCAACGGGATGAGGGTTTGCGAAGCTGAGATGCCGTTTGCGAAACTGAAGAAGAGTTACCGAAGTCGGCAGATGCTGTGCCGCTGTTGGAGGAAGGGTTTGCTTGGTCTGGAACCAAATTGACGATTTCTCTAGCACTGAGGCGAGTTGGGTAGCTATGATTACTTCCAGATTGAGCCAAAGTTGGGCTCATAACCTAATGGAAACTAAGGACGCGACCAGCGCGATCGGGAGTTTCCCTGAGATGGATGATCCGTGAGCTGTATTTGCCTACCGAGGCTGCGTAGCTAATGCAGCAATAGGCAATCCAACGCGGAGCTGGCGAGTAGGGACTAGTCTGAGGATATTTCAGTTAGTATACAACTTGTAGGCGAAGGAGTCAGCGACACGTCGCAGTAGGGATCGAAATGGAGTAACCGCTAAAGGTAACCAAGTTGCCGAAGGCGGGAGTTGTCAACAGACGAAGGGAACAGGATAGAGATAGCGATAAAGTATAGACGTATGTGGAATAGGAATAGAATTGATTAAGTGAACACAGCGACTAAATACAGGAGCGAACCTCTATAAATACCATCGCGGCAAGGGGCATTGCGATGGTGAAAACGGCTAAGACAAGACGTTTTCTCGTGTAACGCTATAGTGAAAAGTGGACAATTCCGAGGTGTCGCTCCATACGACACGTTCATTGCTGAGAGACAAGTATCGAGCATGGCAAGCAAATCAGGGGGAGGGGAGATTCATCCCGAGGGCGGGAATATCTTCCCGCGCCGGGGATTCACGCAAGGCACAGTGCAGCGGCGACGCGGGGAGTTGCCTGCAGCCGTGGGAATTGCCGACCATGGGAACCAAGTATCGATTGCGGTCTAGGCCTGTTGGAGATCTGGACCGCATTCCCGAATCTGGGAACAAAATATTGGATAAAGGGATCGCGTTGAGAGATGGCTCGACGCGAAAAGTGAAGAAGTGAAAATTCGTCTAAGTCTCACCGCGTGCGCGGTGCTGAGCAATCGAAAGAGGCATTGACATCCCGCAATCGGGATTAAAATGTAATCGACAAAATCGAAGGTCCGTATATTCCAACAGTCTCCAGCTTCTTCCAAGAAGAGGAACTGCGCGTCCAGGTATTGACTTGCCTCTGCTGCTTGCCGTGCTTGGGCAAGTGTTGCCGCCTGCACAGTCAACTCTAGCCGTATACCTTGTCCCAGCGTTGGCGCTGCTTGTTGAATGCGTTGCTTCCAGGATTGTAAAGCTGTGATGCGGTTCTTGACCACTCCAACAGACATTGGCTGAAACCCTTTGCCGGCACCAGCAGCACCGGCTTTGAGCAGATTTGTGAGCTTGGAGTACGCTTTGAAATGGGACAGTCCGTCCTCCCGTCGGCTCCACTTCAGCTCCACACCGCCATAGCCCCGCCCCACTTGCATTGCCATTGGGTACTGTTTGTAGCGGCCTCTGCGTGTTCTTGGAGCCAGCACCATCAGACTCCTTGTGTAGACCGTGCGCCCAATGTCATACAGGTTGGTGTGCTGTAGCGGGTGCTCTGCATAGCGTGCTGGATCCATGAAGCGCTCAATGGGCACCTTGATGCCAAATGCAGACATGCGTATGCTCTCGCAACCAATGTCTTGTAGCGCCTCCACCATTATGGCCACATCCACCCGCAGCTCTCCGTATGTAAGCGTGGTTGGATTTGGAGATGCCAGAAGCGTTGCCAGTTGCGGTGGCTGGGAAAGACGGTCTACCAATGGAAGCTTGTACTCCGGGGCAAAGCTGAGGCGGCACTTGAACCCAGCGAAGAACACCCAATGCTTGTGCATCTCCAGATCACGCGCTTCTGGTGCACGTGCGGTCAAGGAAAGATAGCAACCAGGAGGGTAGATACGGAGTAGTGTGGCTGGAGATATGGTCACTGAGTAGAAATCAACATCGGTTGCGCTTTCCACATTCCAGTCCTGCACTGGCGCGCGGGCTGGAACAGGTGGCAGACGTGTACC